TTAGTTTCACTACATCTGCCCCTCATGTCCTTTAACAGTGTTACACTGTATTCTGTGACCTGATTTGATATTTTTTAGTGAAAATGCTTTCACCATGGTCACACAGGCCAGCTGTGTTTTGACAGCTGTTATCAAAAATGCTTGGAAACAGATGGAAAAACGTGACATACTTCTATAGCTTTCACAGTAATAGAAGAAAGTGTGTAGATCTTTCTGTGCAACACATTGGTATTTATATCTACTTAAAGAAAACGGTCACAGATCTGACCGGCTACCTAATTCAGTTTTATTACCAATAAAGACAAAAGACTTCATTCATTCAGTAACATCTTATTAAATAGTTTTAGGAACAAAGAATAAAACATTTTGTTGCTACAATTAGTTTACACAATTTCTCTTCCAGAAGGTTTAGCAAACTTTACTCCATTAAATATACATTTATTTTTTTGTGTTTGTTTTTACATCTATTTAAAGTTTCTCAGCTCGTTCTTTCATTTATACTGGTAATGGGTTAACATGGACAAAAAGCAATGTTTGAGTAAAAAAATACAATATGAAAAGGTCCTAACAAAACAAACAAAAAAAGATTTCACCAAACCACAGATTCCAAATAGGATCAAAATGTATTTACTTTTTAAATAAAAAGTACAACAAAATGGTGCGCTTTCCAGCATGATTTAAGATTAAAGTTATGATTTGTTTCTTACAAATATTTGCTTGCAAAAACATAAAAATGATGTATAAAAAAACCCCAAAACATTGAAAAAGATAAAACACTTAATACACAAAAGTATATTCTTCAGGTAGCACCCCCTTCAAAATAACTGAAAGGGATTGATGTCTTTGTGTTTCACACCTTATGGCCGCCTTCTTAAGAGCTGCTGGTTCAGCTGGCTCGTGTGTGATTCAAGACAGAAAACCATCAGGGACGACAGTCTGTGCTTGAAATCAAAAGTGTTTCACTGTAACTGTAATAACTGTGTCAGAAAGTGTATATAAACCTGTTAAAAAACCCAAAGAGTAAAAGCTAAAAACAAGAGGACGCTGCCTACAGGCACAAAGACATCCCATGTTCATGTTGCTGCTGAGTGATGAGGCAGGTTCGCCAACAGGATCTTAATAAGGTGGCCAGTTGGTGTCGTCTCCTGCATCCAGACACGTCAACAGTAAGAATTCCCAGGAGGAAACCAAGTACACTAAACATGAGAGGACACCAATATATTTCACTGCAGGACTGAGGGGGTTAAACAGAGAGTGTGTGGAGAGAGGAGAGACGACGTGAGGGGGAGAAGTACAGTAAGTGCTGGTTGTATGAACATATGACACAGAAAACAAGGTCACACGTTGTGCATGTGATTATTAATGTGTGCATACTGTGTATACGAGAGGTGCCAAAACTGTCACTCCACCTCTGAAGCAGGAGGAGGGCGACTGCTCTCTGACCTCCGACATGATCGCCACCTGCTCCTGGAGCAAGGTCACGCAGCGTGGGCAAGTGAGCAAACAACATCAGCTGGTGTGCCAAAAAACACGCTGCTAATTTCACCAGCCGTCCCAGAACACTGCTTCTTATCTACAGCTGCCAGACCTGAGCACAGCCAACAGTTAGATGAGGACGGTGAGTTTTCAGATTTTCAGTTTCTGCACACATCAGTGGTCATCGGCTATAAACAGGCCTCTTAAGTGACTTCAGCACTCCTTTTGTTTCTCTGTGATTTGGTCATATCACAGAATTATAAAATATTTGGTGAGATTAATATTTAAATTTCCACACACTCTGACACCCATCTGATTCTGTGACCTGAATTTCACCTGTATAACCACTACAAACATTTTTACCTTACTTTATTAGGTATTGCATTTTGACGGGTGTAACTGAAAACTGTGCCCCTGTAGTATCCAGGTAGGGTTCAAATTTTGACAGCTGTGATTCTGATGTAGCAACAACATAAAAAAGACCAAAACTAATGCTTTTATATTAATAAGTTGGGGGAAGGGGGCATTTTTGGTCACATCCAAATAAAGTATGTAAGTTACACTAGTAACTGCCATTATAGTACTACAGGCTAACTAAAAGTAGATCCAGCAAAGTAAAAGAGCAGAGCGGAGCACCACAGGCTGTTGAAATAACATTTTAACTTCGTATTTGTTCTGGACGAAGACAGTTGACATCTGTAAGATCACAAAAATACCCTTGAGGATGCAACCTACTGCTGGATTTTCCCACCAACATTTGAATTAGGTTGGGCGACCTGATGGTATATACCAGTGGTTCCCAGCTGGTCCAAAAGTGGGTCACAAGTCCATTCTGAATGGACCACAAGTGACTCACAAATGTGTCAAGTTTGTAAAAAACACACTTTATTTTTAAGTACAGTGAATTTCCCACCACAGAGCTTTTATTTTGAAGTGCCGTTTCCTGCTGTAGAGTGAGGGAGTAACAGACAGCTTCTTGACAGAGACAGCATAATACCTTAACGACATGGCCAAACACAAGTATGATACTGTGTGGACCTTGAACTAATGACCAAGGATAAATCTGGACCTTGTGGTTGGACCAGTTGGGAATGGGAACCACTGCTATATATCATGCGATGGTAGAAATGTGCCCACTGGTAGGGATTTGGCTGTACCATTTCTACCGCTGGTGCTATTTGGATCAAGCTATGTAGTAAATCCAGCTACCTCACAAGTAACCTGATGCATGCTAATGTTTCGTTGAAAGGTGTGAAACGCTGAGCGACAGGCTTTGAGATAGGTTTTCTCTCGTGTGGTGGGTGTGTCAGAGGTGTTCCCAATTAGCAGCAACATGTGTATAATCCAAACTCTGGTAGATCTTTACTTATTGAACATTTTATTTCACACTTGTTTTGGCAATAAAGCCACTTTGAATTGAACTTGTATAACACAACAGGGCGTTCAAGGCATCACTAATTCTGTTTTAATAAACATTTCTTTACATTACGTCGGGACTGAACACAGCCCTGATTTGGCCAGGGAGAAGGGGAGTGAAGTTATAAATATAAAAACCTGTAACACTTGTTCTCAGGAACCTTCTCAGATTTTTAGTTTTACTGTTTTGAGTCTTTTCTTTTTAACTCAAGTGTTGTCTGATGTGAGGCAGCTGGGTTTTTTCTTTTGGTATGGACGTTCCAAATAAAAGAAGAAATAATAAAATGTCATAAAGTATGGTTATCTTAAACAATTTCTTGATTGAATTTACAAAACAATTACTTTATTGTCATAAATATCATTATGGTGATATAAAATTGCATATACCATAATTGAAGATTTTGGCTGAATCGCATACCCCAAGTTTGAATTATGTGACCAAATAACAAGAGTAACATACAGAGTGCTGAGGTCATAAAAGGGGCTACTGTAACCATCACAGACTAAGACAACAATGTTCATAACCGTCTATAAATGTGAAAACGCACTCTAGCGACATTTTAGGGTTTCAGATTATTGAGTATCACTACAACACCCAGATGTTCTTGGCACTATTACATGTGCAAACAGTACTTGTAGGAAAAGGCCCTGATAATGACATTTGACTAAATTATCCAGTTCCAACATTTAAAAGTGTTTTTTCTGGCTTGTTTTTAAAATCAACATGATATAAATGGAATGAAATAGAAGCATCTCACATTACAAACTATCTTCAGGAGAGGCTGCTGTCCCCAGGTGAGTTTCTAAAAGCACCGACTGTAGCTGAGGAGTAGCGGTCCATCATCGTCATCACGCCGATCTTTACAGGGCATGAACAAGTAAACTAATAAATATACTTTCAACATTGTGCAAGTGACACATAGACCTGTTTCAAGCAATCTTTAAACATCAATGTTCTGCTCATAAATAAATAAATAGCTTTAACAAATGAGATAAAAACGTGAGGAATTTTGGGATGAGAATCCAAACTAATTTTGCAAGTTTCGTAAAGTAATAGCGACAAATGCCAATGCTTAAAGAAAAGTTTTGGTATGTGGTAACAGATCAGTAATAAGAAATAAAAATAAAAGATATTTCCGCATTTTGGTTTAGTAAAAATCTCAGATGGGCTAAATCTTTAGTAGTTTTCTTTTAGCTGTTATTTTTCTCATTGTGCGATTTTTTTTTTAACACGATTATAATGTTGCAAACTCTTCTAAGGTATTTTTCTGTTTTTCCAATTAAAAAAACACCACAGGCACACAGTGTCGTTAAATTAGAGACTCGCTCTTCAGGGTCACACCTGGGCTAATAACTGACAGGCTGCTGATCCTCTGAAACGTTCACTTTCTCAGCTACATGTGCCTCCACAGCCTGAACTACAACAGACATGAACAGTAACAAACATCAGCAGGTAATTAATTAAAGATGGACAAGAGTGGGAGACGTACAGGGGAGTGAGGATGGGAGGAAAAGGAATGTAAGGGAATTAAGGAACAATGTTAAAGTGAGAACTATTAATGACATCTGCATCAACTGTCAGTTGATTCAGAGAACAAAAGAAACCCCTCTTATTACATTTAAAGGAACAGTGTGTGAGATTTAGGGGGATTAGTGGCATCTAGTGGTGAGTATTGCACACTGCAACCAGCTGAAACTTCTCAAAGTGAGAATTCCTTCAGAGTTCATTGTTCAAGGGGTTTTTACAGGAGCCAAATTATCCACAGAGGTCTCTTCTTCTTCAACACAAACACACCAGGGGATTTAAACCGGTAAAAACACTGAAAAAAGCATGTTACAAATCAGTGTTTCGCTGACGCTGTTTGGCTAGTCTGAGGTGAGCCGCTAATCCAGCACCTGCTAATGTGTGCTCACCATTTTTCTCTGATAACTTTAGATCCAGATGTTCAGGAGATTTTTAATAGCGTTTGGTTTGTTAGTTCTGGGCTACTGTAGAAACAACATGGCGATCTTCGTATACAGACTCTGCTCCCTATGTAGATATAAACAGCTCATTTTTAGGTAACAAAAACACAATGATTTGTATTTTCGGGTGATTATACACTAAAGAACACACTTAATATATTACATTATATTTCTGCCAATATATCCCCCTAAATGCTACACACTGGACCTTTAAATACTCCATATGCAAACCAAAACACCACCTTTTCTTCTTAGTATATTCATGTAAGTGCTATCTGAATGCATTGTTGGAAGTATCAGTGGGTTTGGATAGTGGCAGGGGTGTATTATTAAAGTGTAAATCTTACATTAACACACATTACAGCAGAGCACAGGTGACACCTGTGAGAGAAGATCCACACAGAGGATCACAGATCTTCTCCTGTCGTCATTTATCTTTTTTAGTAGCATTAACACTACTAATATTTAAGCACACAAGGTATCTCTGACAAGGCCACATGTCTGTTACTGTGTGCCATTAATGTAACTTTTCATCACAGCAGTAGAGGCATTATTAAAAGCTTGTTTTGTTTTGTAAGTGCCTTCATGTGTTAGAGGAGATGTAAAATATTCAAATTAAGGTTATCCAGTAAAAATAAAAACTAATTTTGTTCCATAATCAAGTAAAAGACAAGTCCCATTTGACAGCCAAATGAGACGAGGGTGTGATGAACAGTAGAGTTGTGGGCTTGTTAGTAACTGATGCATAATACTGACACATTAAAGAGATGTAAACTGGTATGTTACATTGGAGGTCTCGTGAATGTTAGTGCTCTAATACATCAGAACAATGAGGGATGTCAGTTTCTTGTAAGATGACATGATGTGCTGCTAAATGCGTCTCTGAGGAGTTTTACTGAAGAAATGGGGGCATGAGTTGCAGAGTTGAACTCAGGAGGCAGATAGTGCAAAAATAAAAAAAAGAATCACAATCACTTTGCATGGCTAAGGGCACCTGACTAACCACTTCCATCTATCTGCATGACCCCGACGTGCATTGTAGCGCTCAAGCTAGTTCTGGTGAGGCTATTGGTATGTGAACATGTGTGTGTCCCTAATGTGGTTGCATAATCAGTTTAGAGGCAAATTATTCCTAACAGAAATTCTGCATAATCCTCAATTGACATAATCAAACCTACTGTGCTTTTAGTAGAATGTTTTATAACATTGGGCAGTTATCATCAAACATTCAGCTCTGATTGTTTGACTTCCATCTATTTCCCTCTGGATTAAAGTGCAAATAAATTAATGCACAAACCCGTCATTCTCCTGCTGCACACACACATGCACACACACCAACTAACCTCTGTGTGGTGACATCTTTTATAGCATGCTGTGACTTGCTATAGCATGCTGAAAATAGCATAGTGGGAAGTGGGAGAAGACTGACACAAGCTAAAGAAAACACATACTGACGGGGGGGTTGGTGCATCACATTTTTTTCCACACAAATCCTGCACCGCTTCTGTCCTCCACTCTCCCATCCTTTTATCTTAGTGTACCATCCCTTGCTCCCCAAATTCAGCCGCATAGGAAATTTTGCAGCACCAGCCTGTTGGCTATACCCGACTCTCCCCTGGCGCTGTGCCTCCCTCTCCACCGATTCCTCCCCCCTTCACAGAATCCCTGTGTCCCATTCTGCTCCTGCAGGATTCCTGTAGCCTCCCCCACTGGTAGCCTTGGAAGGTGGGGCTGATGGGGAAGTATTTGAAGATGGGGTGTCTGCGGATAAAGTCCATGCCAAACGGCAGGTCATACGATCTCATCCCTTCCAGTTCTGCAGCACTGAGACCAGTGCCGCGCTTCAGCTTCCTGATGCCTCGCTCTTCAGGGGTACCTGGGGAGAGAAGGAAAACAGATTAATAACAAATTCCTTAAAATTCACACATTAAATAACCGAACTAACAAGTAGGAACATGATAAACATCATGTGATGAGCTTTCCATCGTTGCTATAATCTGCTACCAAGTTCAGACCAAAAATTTGCAATGAGTTAAAACTTGTAACTACTTGGAACATGCCAGTCTGTGGCGTTCTGAACACTAGCCAATATACACCAATGAAACTAAACTGGACGGTGTATCATCTTCATAGCATACTTCTGTTCTAAATTCTGGCTTTTTAGAATGTTTTCACACATGGTCCTTTTCAGCCCTCTACGCGGACTTGAGCAGTGACTCAATATTTTTTTTCCACACGTGTGAACACTTCGAGAGAACTCAGACCCAAGTCCACGGTGCAGTTCACTTAACCTGTGCATTGTGACCAAAGTGCTCCAGGTTCGCTTTGCTCTTTGGCATTGTATTTAGCCCTCTAGATCACATGCAGTTGCACTGGGACGCTTGAAAAAACCGACAAAACCACGTCAGCCTGTAACGCTTGCAAGGACTCAGGACGAGAAGTAGTTTGGTCCACAGAAGATACTGCATGTCTCCATTCCTCCAATTTTAAGTTCATCTGAAAGTGAGAGGTTTCATAACCTCACTGCAGTGCCCAACAAAATAAAAACAAAACTATGTCAATATATTACATATAGGCTAAGTCTGAACGGAGAGAGGACTGAGGCCCCATCAGAGCTGAATTCGAACAGAAGGAGAACTGAGTCCCTTTTCTTTCAGTCCACTTTTTGGTCCACTTTCAGAAGACTGAGTTCGGTTAATTTAGAAAGGACTTTATGTGAAAACACCCTTAGGTACTATACAAGTAATGTCTTACTTAAGAGTTCGTTTTTTGAGTATGTGTGTGTGACATACACACAAACAGCCAGCAGCAGCAGCAGCAGCAACCCACTGTCCAACTCCGACACCCCAGGAGGACAGAGGCTGACATTCATGTCAACAGCCGCAGGGATGTAAATGAAACAGGCTCGGGTTCGGCGGGGACGGAGGGCTGTGGTCAGAGAATGCCACAAGCGAACATGCATCTGCTGACATTTTGTAACCGACATGACCAACTGACTTCGTTACAAGCTGATTGGCTGTTGAAATAGGTGACGTGTGTTGTGTTCTAAAACAAGCTGCTGGCGCACTGACAAGCTGAGTCACAGGTGACACCATCAGCCATCTTGAGTGGAGCTGAGACTGGCTGGTTTACACCACTGCAACTTCTTCCTGCAATGCTTTAATCTTGTTATGAAACTTTTGGTCTTAACTGGGCTTCATGATGTGTTTGAAGACATAAAGAAATAGGAAGGGAAGATTCATTCTGAAGTATGATTTATCCATGTGTCTGTCCACCAGTCTTTTGTTGCTTGTCCAAGTCACAGCGGCAGCAGGCACCTTTCTCCTGACCACTTCTTTCAGCTCTCCCAGAGGGGTCTTAAGGTGTTCCCGAACCAAATCAGATATACTGCCTCTTTAACTTAACCTGTACCTCCTTGGCACAGCCATTAAAGTCCCCCTCCAGACACATTTTAAAGTATATACTTATACAAATACTAATATTTTGTTTAACAAGGTTTTCCCTCATAGTACTTGCTGGAAGGGTCTTTAAGGGCTGGAAGCAGATCCACTCCTTCTCCCTCATTGAGAAAATCTGGATCTGGCCTCCGGCTCACACGATGAAAGAGCAGCGCACATCAAGATGGCTAACATTAGAGAAAACATCACAGAGATTCAGCCGTACATGTTTAAGCCTCAGTCAGACCCAGATTCGGATGAGGAGTCTGCTGTGCAACAAAATTGGCAACTAGCAGATATATCAGAATGTTAATTGTGGTTAGCATCTTTTATTTATGTGTATTTATCTTTTATTAACGCAGCGTTAGTGGTTGTGAAACAAAGAATGAATCTGCTATGATGGGGTTTTTGGTAAGTAGTGGAAGGAAAGTCGAGGTTCTGGTTTACATCAAAAAATTGCACATGCTACCATGTTTGCTATTAAAACTTTGCCCGCTCTTTGTAGGTATTGTGTCAAAGTTTGTTACCCGGTTAATATTCGTTACCCATATTAGAAAGCAACTGGCTTCAGTATTTAATAGCCTGGAAATTATCAGTTTAACAAACATAAGAAAGAATGGACTAAACACCTTACCAGGGATAGTATTGTCCAGAATGAAGGCGACAGAGCCTCCAACAAACATGGCAGTGGTGAGGAGCACGTTCAGCACTTGGTCAATCCCAACGATGCCTGGGAAAGATGAAGAGACAGGGGCTTAGTAATAAGTTAGTGATTCACACTGTCAGTTTGTATTGCAGATGGAGCTTTAAAATTACTGAAACTGATTCAATTTCAGTCATGTTCGTATGTTCAGTAAATGAATACCCTCAGACATACTGTCAGCAACGAATACCCCAGAGTAACTTGTAACTGTGTGTACTTGCATCCTTTGTGTGGGTTTATTCATAACAAAGAAACTTGGGTCTGCGTCGTTCCACCAAGTTTTTACAGTTTGAAGTAATGTAATTAATCATGAAAGTCTGCTCCAACTTCAATGGAGAAAACACAATTGCACACTTTGTCTCAAACAAACATGATACAGAACAAAACAAAGCCAAATGTAAATACTGTCAGTAAAGGAGCTGCAGCTTTCACAAGAAATACAAGCAATTCTTCTATATTCATACAGTATGACATGCGCATGGCCAAAAAGTAAAAAGAAAAAATAACCCACTTGATCAGGGAACATTTCAGACAATAAGAGTTTTTAATGTCACTACACATCCTAGAACTGCAGATGGGATGAGGTAGGAGAAGTCATATGAGTTATTTACATCTTTGTATCTGTATATCTATATATATATCTGACTACACTTCTTTGACAGTTGATAGAGACATGAAACAGATTCTAATTTTACTTTGCTTTTAAATGTATGAACAGGTTTTTAATCACTGAACATGTTAAATAAAAGTTTCTCAGAGTCATAACTCATTTGGTTTATTGCTCAGTACAAACAATGAATAAATGTCCGCTGCAAAGAGAGAGTCTTGTGCACAGGTAATTTAAAAAGCTCCATTAATTGTGATAGGTAATATTAAAGGGGAACAACAGCCATGAAAACCACCACACCACCAACAGACGGACATCAAATCCAAGTGGTGGCTGGTACCAACTTTTTGCAAATGACGGCTCAGTTGAACACAGTTAATGTATTTAAGGATTTAACTGCAGCAAACATTACTTAACTATCTATCTAGCTAGCTACTAAAATATAAAATGCCGTAGCTGCTGATAGCCACAGTTCTCCTGTGAGCCGGATGAACGCGACAACGTGCTATGAAATCTTGTCATGGATTTCTTTGTTCCAGTGGACAGTACTTTCATAAACAATAATTACCGGAGGATGAAAGAAGTCAGAAAGGTCTGACACATTTTACCTTTCTTATAAGTATTTATAGTTAAAATAAAATAGACTCTTTTTTTTTTAAATTGCAAATGATGTGGAAATTCTGCACTCATTCTGATCGCCACCAGCAGGCAGTTACTGTTTACTGTGATGACACTACCACCTACTGGATTCCCTGTGTGCCCTTGCAATACGTGCCTTAATGAGCATATTGCAGTATTTTTTCCATCACGTTATATAGCCTCTAGAGTAATATCAATGTTTTAAAAAATGGCTGTTGTTCCCATTTGATTTCAGCTGCCCAGCTGTAGTTTGTAAACATGTTGGGATCTGTCCCCTCCACTCACCGGTGACCAGCGGGTTCTGTTTGAGGTAGCTCGGCAGCATCAGGCCGAAGAAGATGGAGAAACCCAGAACAAAGAGGTTCCTGGAGGAGTTGAGGTCGACAAACTGCAGGTTGGAGAGTCCAACCGCTGTGATCATACCGAACAGGGTACAGAACAAAGCTCCCAAGACAGGGTCGGGCAGAGAGGCAAACAGGGCACTGAATTTACCCACGAGCCCAAGCAGCAACATCATGGCGGCTCCATACTGAATCACACGTCTGCTGCCCACCTGGAGGACCAATCAGAGATCAGAGGAAAAGAAGGGAAAGCCTGTCAGTATTTGATATAACAATTAACATAAAGAATGCACCATCTATTTTAATTGACTCATGCCTTTATTCCAAGCCGACTCGACTTATGTAATGCACTTTTTTTTTTTACTGTCTCCCCCAATAAACACCACTGAGAGACTTCAGCTCATTCAAAAATCTGCAGCTCAGCTATTAACCAGAACCAAGAGGAGAGAGCACAATTGATTTTAAGCTCCTCCTCCTTGTATACAAAGGCCTAAATGGGCTGGGACTGAGCTACAATGCTAACTCCCTTGTTAAATATCTGCCTCCAAGAACACTGATCATCTACTGCTGGTTTATTGGAGGTTCCCAGCAACAGCCAGAAGATCAGGGATGCAACCTTTGTCAGTTACGCCCCAAAACTATGGAACACACTACCTATAGATCAGGGGAAGCTAGCATGCTAAATATTTTTAAAAGAAAGCTAAAAACATATCTGGCTAACTAGCTCTGACTTTCTGATAGCAGTCTGAAAAGCTTTATTTCTACGCTTTGACTTTCTATTCATGCTTCACGCTGCTGCAATTCTTTCAAATCTTAATTGATTTTATGATTTATAGTTTTACAACTCTATGATTTTATGAATCAATTCTGATTTCTGTTTATTCTATTCATGTGAAGCAATCAGTGCTTATACTGCCCTTGTTGTAAAGCACTTTGTGCTGCATTTCTTGTATGAGAAGTGCTATAAAGTTTATTATTATTTTAGGATGCTACACAATTACAGCTAAGCAGTACAGCTAAGCAGCAGAGCTGTGTGAGTCCCACTCTTTATTTATACATTCTTTTCAATTTCTACTTTCATAAATAGTGAGAGAAAGACAGGAAAGGCAGGGAAGAGACCGGGGATGACATGCAGCAAAAGGCCCAGGCTGGACTCAAACCTAGGTCACTGTGGTAAGGACTCAGCCTTAATGGTATGTACTCTACCTGGTGAGACTATTGGTTTGCCCCAGAATGACACTTTGTAAGAGGATCAATTACAAAAAAAAAAAAAAAAGTGTGATTTTTGTTTTAAAGTAGTGTCAGGCTGCAACAAACAATTATTTTCATTACAAATTAATTTGCCTATTATTTAATCTGTTAATGTTGGAAACTGTGAAAACAGCAATCACAATTTCCAAAGGCTCGAGGTGATTTCTTCAACTTGTTCATTTTGTCAAAACAACAGCCCCAAAACTAAAGATATTACATTTAAAGTTATATATTACCACTGAAAAGAAGAGAGTTCTCACATTTAAGAGGCTGGTACCAGCAAATGTTTGGTACTTTTGCACTGGAAAAAAAAAAAAAAAAGACTCAAACAACTAAAGGATCATCAAAGTAGTTTCCAATTAATTTTCTGCCAAATGACTAGTCAATAAAGTGACTTACTATCTCCACTCCTTTTTAATTATTTGCACAACAAAACCATGATGGTAAAAGAAAAAAATAACTAAACTGGAATGTGCAGAGAGGGACGGAAACTAAGACTTATACAAAGTCTTCCTTAATGCAGAAAAAAGTGAAATAAAGTGTCATCACAAACATCAGGTACAACACATGTAGAAAAGGTTTCAACAACAAAATACAAAATAAAGAAGAGATATGACATGAGTGCAGGTGTGTGTTACCTTTGTGATTCCCAGGACACCTATATTTGGACTGGAGGAGGTGGAGCCATTTCCTGTCCCGAAAAGGCCGTCTAGCACACAGGAAATACCCTCTACAAATATCCCCCTGTGGAGACGTAGAAAAAAAGAGTTAAAGTATCTTTCAGATGAAATTCACAAAACAAACTGAAACATCAGAGAGAATGAAAGAAAACAAGATATATTAGAGTGTTACCTGTTGATAGCGTGAATGGGAGGTGGAGGAGCACAAGAGAGACGGGCACAGGCGTAGTAGTCTCCAATCGATTCGATGATGCTGGCCACCACCGCGCTCATCATGCCAATCACACCTGCAGCTGTTACAGTAGGAAAACCCCACTGGACTGTAGAGGTAAAGACACAGAGTGGGTCAGAGCTGAGAAACTGCTGCACTTAAAAACAGAAAATATCTTAAAAATTATACTTTTGTTTAATTTCCTTGACAATTTTATACTTTTCAGTTTAAAGAGGCAGTTTCATTAAATGCAGTTTAATACCAAAGGTCACAGAGTTCTGGGAAACTGTTATTTTTCTGATAAAAAAGTCAGGCAATAACTGGGCTTTTTCTATCATTCTGTGAGCAACTGTGATCTGATTTTATGCTGCACACAGCATGAGTCTGCAGGGCACAACTGAAGGAGTCCGTTCCCTAAACAAGTTGGAGGTGTACAGCCTGTCGCCTGCAGCCCTGCTTCTAAAATCTCACTGTGGCTGATCCTGACTGTTTCACTTCTAAATCTAAAATCTATCTAAAATGACCGTTGTGTTGTTTTGTATAGGAGTTTTTGATTAATAATAGCAGTAAGTGCTAAGCTCAATGAAAAACACATTACATTTCCTGTGACCCCTTCATAATAAAAGTCAACTTGTGTTTTGCAAACTGCAGCAAGAGGTAATGTTGGGTTTGCAGTACACTGATTAGCCTTTGTCCTGGTAGATTTTGATGGTTTGGATGGTAGGTTTGGTTGGACCACTGTGTTTAACTATAATCTTTAAAAGTTACAGTTACCTTAAAATGACAACAGAAATAAACAAGTTTGCAGATGACACATATCTCTGCGATCAAGATTAATAACCAGTTGTCTACCCAGAAGTGATTGTTACTGTGAGTGCAACGTCACAGTGATTCTATTTATGGGTAAATTTTCTGTTTCAAAACTGAGAACTCTACCTTGACATAAAGCTGATTTAGGTATAAATAAGAAAACAAACATTCAGTGGGTACACCAAATCAGGCTCCCAGTCATTGACTGTGGAGAGGCTCCAGATGTTATACCCTATGACAGTGGTTCTCAAATGGTGTGCCGTGGGATTTTGTGATACCCACACATTATTACTGCAATGTTCAACTGGGCCTGTACAAAAAGTTAGAAAAAATATTTTGTCACTGTCACTTCACTACAACCAAAAGCTTTCCACAGCATGGCTGCCAGCAAGCTGCATCGACCACACCATGTGGAGACCAGGCGTAACATTAACAATCCTTTCCAACAGCCCCTTCCTTTTTCTTCTCCTCCTCCACACAAACACACTCACATGGATATGGGATCTTAAACCACGGTGCAGCTGCCAGGATTCCTTGACGTGCGTCTGTGCGAGCATAGAAACCGTATTTGTCTACCTCCGGCGGGAAAACGTCAGTCACAGTGAAAATGAAACACAGCAGCCATGACACCAGGATGGCCATGATGATCTGGGTACAAAGAAAACACTTATCAGAGATTTACACTTTACTTTTCTCCTCCTGTAAAATCTTAATATTTCTGAGGACTCATCTTAAAATAAAGGTATCCAATAAAATGTGATTTGGGGCGACTAGCTAACCCTGCCCATCATATAAAATCACCGTTAGCTTGTGGGTTGTGGTAGCTAGAGCAGTATCATAGTAGGAGGTGTGTTTGGATCCATGTTGCCAACAAACTTTGTTTTAAATTTTCAGAGGAGAGCATGGTTTAGGTCAAACTTCACCCTCATATTTCACCTCTTGGTCAAACAACAAGGGTGGGGGAGGTGTGGGTGGAGGTTAACAGTTCTATAGCTGTATTATCACATGCACAAAACCACACCCGGTTCTGATCCAAACTAACATAAGGGATCAGATTTAAATCCCACTGATAACTATAACCTGTCCACATATTTAATTTTCCCTTGGAAACACGTCCAGTTACTGCCAACAAAGACAGTGAATTTAAACTTGAATTATTACTTTTCCTTCAACATAAAGTAAACCTAGAGAAAATACACAAAGTTTAAAGGTGCTGCACTGTGTTACCCACTTATGTACACTTGAACAGTGACCTGGTTGAAAGTAATGGGAAGCCACGTGAGGAGACAGGAAGAGGCAACTTTGATGCAAGGTTAGGAAAGGTGTTATTATTCCATTAATCACCAGCAGAGGGCAGGAAAAGACTGATTTACATGCTGCACAGTGGCATGCAAAGGGAAAACCTCTTAACCTCCCAGAGAGAATGAGATTAGTTCTGTTTAATAATTTGTGACTTAGATGGGAACTCAGTTTGTGGTGCAGGCAGGGGGGCACTTGTAAGGAAACCAAGGTTTATTCCTTAACAAAAAATATAAGAAAAAGAAATGAAAAAGTGGAGAGCAGAGAGCAAAAAGTTTAGATATGTTTGTACTTGTAGAGAAGTTGTGTACTTACAGGAAACATTTTGAAGACCTGCAGTCTGTAGGAAGTCCAGCCTTTCTTGGCTCTGTAGACTGGCAGAGGGAAGTGAACGTTTCTGGCATATTGAGAGAAGAGCAGCACCAAGAAGATAGTCCTGCAGACAGAAACAGTCTTCCTCAGTTTGATGGACCACAGTGTGTTTTTATTTTTTCCTATACTCTATATTCTCCTGAGAGCACTAATCCTGTATGTACATGTTCCACTTCCTTCTGTCTACGTCCGACTCAGACCCCAGAGGCTTTAAAGCCAATCAATTATCCTAACTGCCTGAGAAAAAAAGCAAATCAGTGGCAATTACAAGCACGTATCCTCCGTCCCTGTGGAGTGAGAGGAGGCGGCCTCCAGCTACAGTGTAAACAGCCGTGACACAGCAGGAACTGATGTCACACCACATGAATATCACAACTTTGAAGTGCATCTTCCCCCATGAGTCAATCCTCTGTATCTTTACAGCCTTTGCATGATCAACTACATTCTTTCCTCGAGTAAAAGAAGCGCTTTCTTTATGTCCTTCTTCTCTGCTTAATCTTTAACTGCAAATATTCACTGTGAAGGAGGTGTTCTATAAAGGTTATTTAGCTGTAAATCAGTTAAGTGAATGAGCTACAAGCTGTAATGTTAATACTCATCTTTGTACAAAAGCTTACAGAAGTATTTCACTGCCGGGAAGATGGTCTTTTCATAAAACTAGGCTGTCTATGCAGTAGAAAGACTTAAATACTTTTGAAATTGGTGCTGCATGACCTAAGAAAACAGGAAAGAGGCTGTGGCATTTGCTTTTGTTCAAGAGGTAGAAAACCTTTAAATACCAGAATGAACTTTGCCACACCGGACCAATAAATGCTCCAACTGGTGGGTGACACTGGAAGCTTGGTTGTTTTTCCACAGTGCCTAGTTTTACAGTTTAAGAGAGATGGAGACAAAGAGAGGCGAATCTCTTTCTTAATCTGCTTTGATACTCTTTGGTTGTTACCAAAACCATTCACTCATTCACGAACGCCTACTCACTATTTAGGGAGTTCTCAGCAGAGGACTATATAGCGAGCTCATGGGCAACATGAAAAAACACTTGTGGACACTATTCAGGCCATTTTTCCATGGCTGTGGTCAGGAAAAATGAGGAAGTACAATTTGTAGTTTGAGCAATAACCCAAAGGGCCGACTCATATCTACTGAATGATAGATGAACAGAGACTTCTGCATGCTGGTAAGATGGAGGGAAGTTTACCACGGTTTATTTACACATACTACCGCATTGTTATGATACTAAAATGGTTGAAGATCTGCAAAGTATGTATCAAGTCCTCAGATCACATCACACCAGTCCTCATTCAACTCCACTGGCTCCCTGTCCAACAATGGATACAATACAAGCTCCTAAAGCTCTCCATAACCAGGCTCCCCCATTTCTCTCTAATATGTTACACCCTTACATCCCACCCCGTTCATTTTATCCACATTGTATTTTCTTTATATTTTTATTGTATTTTATGTCTATTTTTGCTATTGTTTTTATCTGTAAGGTGTCCTTGGGTGTTGTGAAAGGTGCTAACAAATAAAATGTATTATTATTGTCATTATGTCCGTAAGATGATACTCCAGATAGTGTCTTTGAAAATGAACACGTGGCTTCAAAAGAGATGTCAGTTTCTTCCTGTACAGAGAACAATGGCTCTTGACAGTTTGAGTTTGAGTCAGTCGCAGTAGTTTCCCATGGTGCCAGATGTTTTATTTATTTTTTTAATAGAAACTCAGTCTGCATGCTCTGTATATTCCCAATTCTTCTCAAAAATACCATCTGAAACATCAGACGTAGAGACATCAGAGATCATCAGACGACCACACACACAAAGGGACAACTGAGAAGTGGATTTCAGGTTGAGTGGCACTGGATTACTCCAAGTTTTGTTGTATAACATACAACGACAATCAAGGCTGATCATCTTGTTGACACCTGTGTGACTTCGCATGAGAGTCTGAACTTACAGCATAGCAATGCCCCAATGTTTTCCAGCCCTCTCCCCTGCGGCCTGAAAACCAGACAGGCCGATAAGAGCCACTGTGGGGGTGATTGTCAGAGGTCCGATGTACTTCAGCAGGATCCCGGGCAGACCGAGAGCTCCGATACACACCTCAACCAGGGACGACACGATAATAGCCCCTTGGATCTGACGGAACACAGACAAAGAAAAAGAGATAAAACAAAGACTGTTTTTTCTTTAATTATAAATTTGATTTTGTAACTACACACATAAGCACTGCTGCAGTTTTAAAATTATTCTCTTTAATCAACTCAAGCCTGTGAAGTACAGGTGCAGGCTCAGAGGGATACAAGATGATGCTGACTGAAGCAACTCAAAGTGGATTTTAATGAAACACTTAAAGCTAAAATAATACACCCCGCCTTGCCTGAAATAAAGGAGTGCTATCGCTGTCAAAAGAAATGATTACAGTTATGAAATATAATATTGGGTTTATTAAAAGGGGCAGTTCACCCCCACATCTAAAATACACATTTGCCTCTTATCTGTAGTGCTATATATCAACATAGATTGTTTTGGTGTGAGTTGCGCTGGAGGTGGTGGCCGTAGAGATATCTGCCTTCTCCCCAGTAGAACTAGATGGCACTCGGCTTGTGGTGCTCAAAGCGCCAAAAAATTACATTTGAAAAACTGACACGGTTGGCAAGTGTAGTTAGGTTAAAAAAAAATAGTTCCTACATAAAACTGCTCACAACAAGGTATTTGGATTATCTTGAGTAACCTGGGCATGATTTCTGGAAAGAGACATTGACTTTTTGAAATGCATTATTTTGGCATTTTGAGTACCACAAGCTGAGTGCCATCTAGTTCTATTATATTGGAGAGAAGGCAGAAATCTCCCCCGCCGATGTCTCCAACACTCTGCATCTCACACTAAAACAATCTAGATAGATAACTAGCACTACAGGCAACAGGAAGCATATATTATTTTTGATTTTGGGGTGAACTGTCCTTTTGAGCTTTAGACAAATTGACTAGAGGCACTAAATCACACAGCAAAGTCTGGAATGAAAGTCTTTATGAAAGAGGCGATTACTAGAATCCAGAATCCTCTGGTAGCTGATCATGAAAAGTTATCTAGTCTGATCCAGCTCAGCAGTGATCAGTCACATCGTTTGTTTGCTTTCCAATAATTAATTAACAAACCTCTGCTAACCAATTTCCTGATAAAAAAAAAATCCTGTTCATAACCAACATTTTTCTTTTCCAAATAACATGAAATCAAATTAACCAATCAAAATCAGAAACAAGAAAAGTTTTCAACACCATTGGAAGAGATAAGGTTACAGAATAATAACCCTGTTTGTCTTGTCTTAATCCGTCTTTGTGTTCTTTTTGGGTGTTTTCATCATGTGCACGTTCCTCCTGCCCTCAGCCCATCGATGTCCCATTCAACAATTTAATTCAGGCTGATTGAGTTTAGTCTCATTCAAGCGTCACATATAAAACAATTACTCAACTGGCTTACGCAAACGGAAAAGGTTAATTCAAATTAACAGCTCCTGTCACAGAGAACCAGACCCTGCAGCCTCACACAGACACTGATGTCCTCATTTAGACATGTCAAGAAAAAAATTCTCCCATTTAAACATTAGCTTCAAAAAACATTCATTAACTAATTTTAACATATACATACAGTACACTGTGTCAAAATTCCTGTAGGGGTTATTTAAATTAAGCTGAATAACATTTCCTTTGGTGCTTTCAAGTCTTTTACTTTTCTTTCCTTGCCTCACCTCTCTTATTCTGGGGTGCCAGATGTGCTCTGTGTGGAGGAGCTCTGTGCTGTTGAATACTGCAACCTCTGGTCATAGAAAAAAACAAAACAAAACAAAACAAAACAAAAAAATGGGGAGATGAAAGATTAGAAAATTACAGAACATAATTAGATCACTGTATGAATCATAACTCTAGTTATTAAAATGGAGCACACACATATAAACCTGCTAATCCCATTTGGGGACATTTAATTCTCTGCAGGCTTTGATGCTGACAGCATTTGGAGTTGGGATCAAAGTAAACAAAGATACAATAAATCATAGCATTACATCAGATCAGAGCGTCTCTATTGAATGAGTCAGAAGTGAGACACATGAGAAGAGAGGAGTTACCTGTGGTGTTACACTTCCATTTGTCCAGTGACAGGATGGCTCGGGCTGGTGCGAGGAAGGCGAAAGCGCTAGCCTGGAACAAAGGCAACCTGAAGATAAGAAAAGCAAAGTTTAAAAATTACTTTATGAACTTGAATAATCACATAAATGTCCAAAAAGGGAGTGTTCGGTAAAGAGCAGGTGATTTTCTTTGTTATGTTATAGTATCTTTTTCATATTTTTATTATGATTTTTCTCTTCTATATTTACGTTCTTCACTGTTGCAGGCAGTACCTCGCCTTTATTTTTATTTCCTCTTTATACGTTTATTGTATTCACCAAACATCAAGACAAATTCCTTGTAAATGAAATCCTACTTGGTGAAAAAACATCATTGTTGGATACAGACTTCATGCTATTCTTGCTAGCTATGACTGTGTGGAGTGTGAGAATCCCCCCTGGTCTTTTGTTGGATAATCTAAGATCAGTTTAATACAGGATGGGGTCATAAGATCACTTATGTTATTGCTGGCACAGACTTCCCTCCTTCCTCTGTTCTTTCTCTTTCTCCCAAACCATCAGCAACATTCAGACACTTATGTAAACTCATAAAAAAGTCATATCTCATGTGGTGGCTGAAATATGGCTGACCAAATTACAACTATAATTAGCCGTCATGACAGTGAAAGGATATGAAAAGATCTGATCAGAGATAAAACAGAATAAATAGACTGTATTGACGTCACATTAGTGGAAACGCCACAGACAGAAATAAAATGGTGTGAATAAACCGAAGAAGGAACAGAGGACTTTCAATTTCTAAAGAAAGGGGAAGTTAACAAAGTCAGAGTTAGAGGCACACCTGTTTAAGAGTAACACCTGCACACTGACACTGAAAGAAAAAATAAAAGATGACACCACAAAGATCAGATTGCTGACTCATTGTTTATTTCATTAAGATTTGTCATTTGGAAACCGTGTGCGGGCAGGTCACATGGCATGATGTGTAAGTAATTATGTTTTATACAGCTGCTTGTTTGCAATGTGCGTACACAACCAAATTAACATTAAATTACATTAACAAAAAAACAAAAATGTTATGACTATCACTAGTTTTTAAAAGATTTAGGCCTCAAGACCTCAAGATAAGTAGTTTGAGTTCTTGATCGGATAACAAAAAAGACCTTAGCAGAAAACATAAGTGAGTAATTTCTCTGTTCCATCAGAAATTTTTTCCGAATTGCAATTCTTGCCCTCCTTCCTGTTATGTCAATAAGACACAAGTTAACTCCTGTAGACACTTAGGCATCTATGTAAACACTGCTTTATCTTGGAGTCCACGTACAGATTATACCTGCAGCACGGTATAATACCATACTTTACTTTCTTGGGAGACTTAGGTCATTCAGAGCAGACAAGCAGGTCCTGTTATTGTTTTTCTGATCTACAACAAAGTGTAGTTACTGTTATAGCTGAGAACCGGTTTCAAACTGTCAGGTCCATGGTATTAGTATGCTGTCAAGCTCATTAATTAATTTTTTCCAGTGCTGGCATGTTTTAAGACAGTTGCATATTGCAAAACAATACAGTCAAACTCATGTGTCTAAGCTGCTGGAAACATTCAACAAGGAGGAGTCATCAGTGAGAGGAGAAAACGGTCCAAAATATATCTTCATGTCACAAATAAAGATGACAACAGAATGTAATGTCTGTAAAATGATAATTTCATATAAGGGTGGAAACATCGGCAATATGCTGAAACATCTTTCTACGCAACAGTCTACGCACGAGTGCCGCTGCTTCTCATCTAAACAGCACGTCCCTTAGCGAGGGAAAATATCCTGTTACAATAAAAATAAGGTCTCACAGGCAGGTTTAGCAGATTTTTTTTCTTTTAATAAACAAATCTGAATTAAAACAAATTCTTTACAAATATTCTCAAATTTCATCCATTTAAGATGAATAAATAAAACAGCTGTTTGACGCTGAAAAATTAATTATGCAGTATGGAATCAGTGCATGGTAAAGCTAGACAGCTAAGAATCTCAGCTCAGACACTGTGGGTCAAAGGTTTGGTTCAAGCTTTCAAACTGTGTATACTGAAAGACTGATGTGTCTGGCTGATCATATCAGACCCATCAAATGAAAACAGCACTTAACCTCCAGCCAGGAAAGCTTACACTGGGCAGATGTGATTTACTGGTCAGTAAAACCAGAAGACAATGAAGAGGGACTTTAATTATTAATTATGAAAGCAAAGTAGTGTGTCTTCTTCAGAAAACAAAAAGAGAAGAAGAAGAAGAAGAAGAAGAAGAAGAAGAAGAAATTATAAAACTTTCAAAGTTAAAGAATTATTCTAAAAGAATCAAGTCCACACTGAATCATCTCAAGTTACGTAAATGTCTGCAGGTGCCAGCTTCTCACACACGCAGGATACTTGGGTGAAGACACACACAGATGCACGAAGACCTAACCATCCCTGGAAAAGCATTTGGGTGTGTTTTTTTGTTTTGTTTTGATCAACCTCACTTGGCACCATGACTCATCATACAGACCGTTGACTGCATTTCCCTCCTCCCCTCATTTCTTCCTTTTATCCTTCTCAATATACTTGTGAGATTTGGGGTCTTGATTGATCACTTGAGATCAGATTCAAATGCTAAATATGCAAATACAGTGCACATCAGTTAAATAAAAATGTCCATGCTCAAAATAAAAATGTCCTTCCTTATGCTCCAGCAGCCAAACCAAATTGCTCAAGGAATAGAAAGGCTCTGTCTGCATCACCTCAGCTCAGCACTTCCAATGAAGAGAGCGTAGGCTGTTGGTGTGACAGGAATGCCACTCATGTTGAAGCCAACACCAGACGCTGCTGTGTCTTTGTTTGTGTGAAAGAGCGAGGAAGAAGCAAAAGATGGAGAGAAAGACTACACTTTGACTTGAGAGCCGTTGCTCCCTCTGCCAGAGTTTTCTGGAGGCTACGCTGAACCTTAAAATGTCCCTGCTGTTGCCATGACGAGGCAAATATTGGGCATCATCTAAAGCTTCTTATATTAACACATCTCATCACAATTTACGTTTACAGTTTTCGAGCATTATTGATCAAAACTGGGTGTGTAAGCTCTGTTGCTGCTGATATTAAAGGGACAGTCCACATGGAGATGTGACACATGGAGATATGACCGCTGTGGGAACGTTCATATCAGAATTCCTATGTTTTGCCATTCATCCATGGTTTTTTCAGGTTATACTTCACTGCACAGGCAGATCATACAGTGTTTGTTGAACTACAGTAGGCTGCTGTAGCTGTGATGGGCTGCCTCAGTTGCCAACCAATACAGCCCGACTGCCAGACTCTTTCTGACAGCAGTGTCATGAGGCAGCGACAAAGATGCTGAAATGTAGCCCTGGACATTTTGAGGTTTGGATGAAATGTTCCTCAGTGAAACCGTCCACATTACGACCCCATTACTCTTGACTCTTCTCCTGGCTGCACCCACACCTCTCTCTCCACAGATCTACCACCATTAGCTGCTAATAGAGCAAGTGGACTAAAAGTCCATTTGTATGACAGCTTATTATCCTGACACTCTCCCAAACAGAAGCACATGGCCAATTATTATGCAGAAAGTCATTAGGCCTTTCTACTATGGTGATCATTCGGGAGAAGCAGCTTGCACTGCTATGTCATTTAATTCTCCCCAAATAACTGTTTCTCAACTGCATTATAGTTTTTATTGTTCAAATCTGCATGTGTGGGATCTGTTCACACTGATCTCAGATATGGGTTACTTCAAACAGAAATGTGAACAGTCTAGGCAGAAAGATCGGGGGCCATATTCACAAACATTTAGAGAATACTCTCAGAGAGCTCCTAACTTAGCTGAAAAGTTTTTAGTAAGGAGTCCCAGTTTAGGATTATTTAGCAAAGTTCTCACAGCAACTCTGAGCAAGGAAGGGACAGAAACTTTTATCGTAGTGAGGAGGTGTGGTTGACCCTGTTGCTAGGTATGAAGCCTTCTTTTAAGAGAGGGGACTGGTTGTCAGAGACACCTTTTTGTGAGCCTGCAAGGTGTGGACACCCAGTGGAAATGAAATGAACTGCTGACTGTGAAAGTGTTAAGTGTTAATGGGAACGCTTTGCTGATAAAAGTTTGAGACAGACACAAGTCATCACTGCTGCACTGTTGCATTTTTCCAGTTTTCCAAATGTATTGTGATCATTTTATTTCTGGCATTATAATGATACTGCGTTAGGTGGGAACTGCGTGCATACCCCTAATGAGATCGACCACAAATGCTATCCCTGCACAATCTAATCTGTAGCATCTCATTCACTCACTGTCATGCAGTGTTTGGAGAATATTTCTCCGACCTCTGTGTTTCCACCATTTTTTCCTCTGATTAACAAACTCTGAAGCATCTTAAAAGTCCTCCTCCTGCTCCTAACAGTTTTTCACCTTAGGAGCTCTTTTAAGGGCTACGATGCTCTGTGAATAACTTTATCTTTACAAGGACCAAGTCTTAACTTTAAGGGTAAATTCTAAGAAAACGTCACAAATCTAAGAATTTTCTTAAAGTTGCGTCACTAAGGAGCAACTCTTAACACTAGGAAGCTTTGTGAATATGGCCCCATATCTGGAGAAATAATCAGAACTGAACATTAAGCACTGTAACATGAACATAGTCGTAGACTGAGCTTGAGAAAGCCTATGTGGAATTTGAAAGACATAAGCATTTACCAGGCTAATGACCGATGCTTTAAAGTTTCATTATGGGAAGTGTAGCATCCTGCATTTTTGGTGCTTTGGTGCGTATTTTACAACAATTTTGACTCTTCCTTTTTTTTTTTTTTTTTTTAAAAATCAGTCTTTTGCAGGTGTCCCCTTTTATGGAGGGGAGGTGGAGAAAAAGGCGAGATAACGCAACATTTTTTTTTGCAGGTAGTGGCCAAACAAACCTGCTATGAATGAGCAGAGCTGTGGTGCTGACATGAGAACAAACAAATGTCTTGGACCAGTAAAGCCCATCAGTACAGAAAATGATCTGTGACGCACTGGACAGTCTGTGGTCTGTTGACGTACGCAGCCAGAAACTGAGCTTCTGGACATATATTTGTTCCTTATTTGGACACTGGGGAAAGAACCTAATCAAAGCCTGAAGGCAAACAAGACCACAGACACCTGATGTGACTTCACAGCAGAGAAACGTTTGTCAGCAAAATCAAAGTCATGTGAAATTTTGTAATCTATGTACGTATGTCCAAAAAGAAATAGTATGAAAAAATGTTTGAAGATCTGATAAAAATGGAAAACAGAAGTTTTTATCTTCATTTTAACTGTGTTTACATAACGTTTTTACATTTCACAGTTGAGCAAAGATCCTCATGAGGAAAACAGTAGAATTAATTCTACTGACTTCATGTCCTTTTTCACAAGGTCTTCACTTTTTTTTTTACTCTACAATGTTTCTCTGAGCTTCTATTGAATGCTTGATTAAAAAAAATAAAGGAAATAAAAGAAAGATAGGACAATGTTTACACACTATCTACCCTTAGGCATGAGTCAAGGACATGGAATTGGTGTCAATAAGAACAGCGAGTATCTGTGTCAGTCTGGGTTTGTGTCTGCATGAGGTGATTTGGCTGGAGCGGCTGCTGGGGGAACAATAATGAGATACTCAGAATCTGCCACGACATGATGAAAATGCTTCATTACAAAACTGGAAAAAAGAGTCAGAGTTAACCTCTCTGAACCGCTCCTCTTTTATGAAAGGAAAACAACACCTCATGCCAACATGACCTGGCTTTCATTAAAACACAGATCCAAGAAACGGGATAATATCCATGGCAACAGGTAATATCTCATGTCAGCTGTTGTTTTATTGGGGAATGACGGGACTGATATAACCCTCAGAGTGGAGTCAGGTGGATCACTGGTCACGAATCACTATTCACATCACATTATGTACGCTTGAGAGCATAAAACAACAGTGGGGGTGAACCACAGAGATCAACAGATTCCAGGTATCACATCAAGATGTGTGAAGAACAAGGGCAGCTCAAGGGCAGGGTGAGGACTATGAGAGGAAAAATGAGGGAGGAGCAGGGAGAAATATATGTAATCAGTCAGTGGGATGACATAAGGTGAAAGATATGAATGTATTTTCAAAAACCAAGCAGGTGCCTCTGTTAAACAGAGCGTAATAAATCTGGGAGAAACTGGGTCAAAAGAACTTTTCCTGACATGTGTATCCTGGTATGGCTGAAAGCAGGGACATCCCTCTCTGTGAATGGGCTGCTAACAAAGACATGGCTGGGTGTTTAATCGACTATGGCTTGTTCAGAGGTGATGCAATAGTTGAACTACATGTAGGTCACTCCTCTGTCTTTAGTTAACTGGAATCTCTTCAGCCTCTGCTCTGTTGTCTCAATTTCTGGAAAGTTAACTTCATACTCATAAAAAGACTGCAGACTAGAGTTGGGTCGATTGCTGGATTTGCAGTTCTGGTCCATTGTACGAGCTTAAACTGTTATAAAAACCATCTGTATAAAAACCATCTGAATCGGCATTTGTTGTTATGGTTGCTAGGCAACTTAAGGTGTAAACTGCCTCTATGCCCTTGAAGGCTGGTTTCTTATTAAAACAAGCTGTGCAAAATTTGGCAACATTTTGGGTTTGAAAGACATGTCCGAGCTGGCTATATTAATTTAATTTTTTATTTATTTATTTATTTTTTATATACTTTATTAATCCCCGAGGGGAAATTCAATTTTTCACTCTGTTTGTCAATTACACACAGGTCCGAACACACACATGCACAAACTGGACCTATACATGCACTAAGTGGAGAGATGTCAGAGTGGGCTGCCCATGACAGGCGCTCTGAGCGGTTGGGGGGTTTGGTGCCTTGCTCAGGGGCACCTCGGCAGTGCCCAGGAGGTGAACTGGCACCTCTCCAGCTACCAGTCCACGCTCCATATTTTTGGTCCGGACGGGGACTTGAACAGGCGACCCTCCGGTTCCCAACCCAAGTCCCTATGGACTGAGCTACTTTCTAACTATTACTGTCACTCGCTTTAAATGCGCCACAATGGTGGAGGAGCAGCCGATTCATGAAGTTGATATGATGAGTTATCTATAGGATACCTTCTTATTTAACTAAAAAAAAAAAAAAAAGGTGGCAGCTGGCTGGAGGGAGATCACTAGGGAGCTGAAAGTTTCTGGTAAACGACAATCGCTAATAACAAACTACTTGCTACTGGCTGTATTGTATGTCATTCCAAAACATATCACGATACAAAATGTGTTTGTTTTTTTTTTTTTGTTTAAAACGTATAAATGTAGGAAGATAGTGTACAGGCTATTCACCAAAGTGAGTGGTTACATCTCCAGTCTGATCTTGAGCGCACAGCTAATAGTTACCAGGATTTTTTACATGACTTAACAGAAGTACATATTTATTGGATTTAATGTGGACAGAAAGCTCTGATGTTACGTGAAAAACGAACGCTCACTTGCTGTTAGGACACGGTCTCACTGTGTCCACTCGGAAATAAAAATTTTGAACACCCCAGTCACATGAACAATTAACTCATCGCAATCTCATAGAAAAAATATACATACAGGACAACTTCTATAGAATAAAACTCCTTTAAAAAATTCAGAAGCGCAACATATCCCTGCTTAAATTACTGTTCTAAAGTTCTGGTAACCTCCCGTGACATAAAAAGGACATGTAAGCTTCTACTTAAAACGCATGCAAACACACTTCAGAGTGACATGAAGAGGAAGGATGGAGAAAGAGGAACTTCATGTCGACAATGACCCTTGTCTTTAAGTGGTACTTAGAGATGAGAGAAAAAAGAAAGGGGAGGGGGAGGTGAGGAAGTGAAAGACTGAACACAATGTATGACTCATACAAAAGCTGCACTTTGGTGTTTGTGCGTAGGCATGAATCTCCGGTATGACTGTGAGTATGTTTTTATTCATGAAAGCATTTCCCTCTGTCCATGTGAGACAGTATTGTGTGTGTACCTGCAGCCAAGTGTGGTCTGTAGTAGGGTGGTGATCCCCACACAGAAGAAGATGGTCCCAATGAGCTGACTGGTGGCCCACTGATCGAAGCCGACGCACATCGCCTCAGCGAGAAGGAACGGCACGGCGATAGTTCCACTGAAACATGTCAAGTAGTGCTGCAGAGACAAGAAGCCAATGTCAGTGTGTATACGTGCGTGTGTTGATGTTTTGACACGAGTTTTGGAACTTGAGTTAGTAAAAGAATTCCAGTACCTTGGTGTTGTTCTTGATCCTACTCTCTCTTTTAAAAATCATGTTAAAAAGATTTCAAAAACAATCAAATTCAATCTACTTAACTTCAAGCAGATTAGGCCATCGCTGACAGTTAACGCGGCCAGAATGTTTATGCATGCTATGATTTTTTCCCACATTGAATATTGTTTTACAAACTCGTCTCTCACTGGAATAACTACAATTAAACCAATAGAATCATTATATAAAAGGGCCCTAAAAATCCTTGACAGAAAACCAATCTCTCACCACCACTGCCATATCCTTGAGAAGTACAACCTCTTGAGTTTTGAAAATTTTAAAGTTCTTAAGTACGCCTGTATTATTTACAAAACACTGAATGGACTTGCACCTCCTCCATTAAAAGAATATATAAAACTTAAAGTTAGCAGTGGCAGAACCACCAGAGCCTATTCCAGGGGAGATTGCGAAGTACCTTACAGACACACGACTTTTGGACAATCTGTTATGTCGGTTAAGGGCAGTAACATCTGGAACAACATACCATGTACAATAAGACAATGCCCTATCTATAGCACCTTTAAGGCCCACCTCAAAAACTGGCTCAAAACAAACCAACAATGTAATCATGGCTAGGCGGACCTATCGCAGAGCCCGATACATATACGTATGTGCCGTGCTCTGTGACTGTCCGCCATGCTTTGCACTGTCTTTGTAGTTGTTATTGTTGTTGTGCAGTGCATGCCTACATATACGTATGTATGCATGCACTGCACTATACTGCACTGTGATGTATTATCTTTGTGTACATAAATTGTGAATGGGACTTTTCATCTGCTGATAAGTATCCGATGTCTTGGTCCACTATAAGAGGCAGGAGTGGGACACCACATGTGGATCTATTTAACTATCATGCACTTGCACTTTAACAACTGGCACTTTACACCCGGCACTTTATAGAATCCACACTGCACTTTATGTCTATGTATGAATGAGTATTTTAATGTGAACTCCTTGTGTACTGTTATTATTATTACTCCTTCTTTTTTTCTCGTCTACCTCCAATGTGTCTGTCTGTCTATTACCTGCCAAGGGACTACGGATGTAAATTAGCAGGTTTGCTAACTCTGACACATTTACACGTGTACTCACATACTGATGTTCATTAATGTGTACTGTCCCTTTCAAATAAATAAAAAAAAAAAAAAAAAAAAGTTTGAGGACACTGACTGTAAACTCAGCACAGTAACACCATAGTAACAAACTTTGAGGATGTTCCCAAAATGAGTCAGATTACATAACCCCCGGGTGTTATTTATCTTTTTGTTCTGTCAAAAAGCAAAAAAAATATTTAAAAAAAAAAAAAAAAACTACAGATGAAAATTAGCTTATAGCTAACTCTGGTGCAGCTAAGTAGCTGTGCACTGTCACAATAATATAAAATAAAATAAAACAAAATAATCCCTCACATTTGCATCAAATCTGGTATAAAGTTCTGAAACGGTCTGAGGAACAAGTGATCCGTTTTTGGATCGTGTAGCTGTGTATAAACCACTTACAATTTTAACCCTTTGGTTCAAACTGATTTTTTCAGGTCTATTTCTGCTTGGACAGGTTTCCCTTAACTTTTTATTTTTTGCAAAACACAATTAAAAAAAACAACCAAACCAAAAAAAACCCCACCCCTGCTACAAAGTTATTTTTCACCAAATCTGATACATATGTGGACAACACAGCAAAAAAAAAAGAAAAAACCCTTTCACTTTTTTAGTCACACCTGACAATTGTGCAACCGCAACCAAATTTACTGGCACACCATGGCACATTCACAAACTCTGGGGTGGTCATAGAAAATTTGATGATGATAATGATGTCTGACTCACTTGCATTTCTTTTACACATTTCATCCCTGTGCCACACCCTAATATTTCAGAATGGATTTAGCACCATTTACTAGTCAATCATGTGTAGAAATCCCACTCTAACCTTCCTCCACCTGGCCTGAACTGCTACCTGTGTGGGTGGAACCTCTGAATCTAAAGGAAGGCCGCTCATCTGTGGTAAACCGAACAAAGGAGCAGGCAAGCCTCATGTGCATGCACTTTTCCTTCAATAGTTTGATAGTTTAGGAATAAAATTCTACATTAAGTAGTATTTACTGTTTATTATATGCTGTATACGTACAGTTTCAGATGTGGGAAAAGTAACTGGTTCAAAAATATGTTTTGGCCATAGACTGCCAATTGGTTTGTGGACACCTGTTTTGAAGCCTCGAGTTTGGCATTTTGGCCATTGCAAAAAAGGTCCCACTAACCCATTAACACCCACTAGCATCTGGCTTTTGTCTATGGTGGAAGTGGTTACAACTGGCATTCACTGTGTGACAAATGACTCACTGGTATTAACTGGCAACAGCTCCAATCTGCTTTGACGGGCAGTGATGGAAAGATGGTGGATCTGACTAATAGACTGTAGCTTCGCCTCACAGACAGCCTGTCACTAAAAGCTGCCCGCCCTTAATTATGCATAACTAACTAAGCCTCAAGTGGCCATTGGAGGAACTGCAGTTTTTGGCACTTCAGTGTTTGCAGCTTGGTTTTGGCAGCATTTACAGTTAGATTAAGTTACATTCATTTACCTATGAATTCAAATTGTAATAAAGCATACTGTTAATTTCTTTCCTCATTCCAAACTACTCTTTAACCATCAGCCTTTGCTAATCTGTTCTAATAGGCAGCCCATTAAGTTGATTGGTATTCCTGGAGCCAGGCTATTCTGAGCTATATTAAGCCACAGTATTCTACAATAAGTGATGTTTGATGTAGATTTGTGTCTAGATGTACTCATCTGGACACGCTACCCTTACCGAAGACCAGTGTACGGAGCAATGCCGAACTGGAATTAACTAACACTATACTTAACCCAGGTTACTAGTAGGCTTACTTTTAAAAAAGAAACTAACAACAGAAATTATTAAAAAAGAAATTTGTTTTACCAACACATCATGTAATGTTTGTGAAGGTTATTTGTATTTGTGGAGCTCACTCGGGTGATGCCTCAGTGTACAACCATGTTTTGTGCAGTCACATATAATTCATGCAGTTAAATATAATTCTATAAGCCTAGGTTTTGGGCTCTACTGGCTTGCTGTTATGATCTATTGATGTGATGACAGTGTAAATGTGAGATAACTACTACTGTCTCTTGTTTGGGTTTTACCTAAATTTGTCAATGATGTAAAATGTCTACGATGTGATAATTTAATGTTTTGTTTTTGCGTTTTGTGTGGACCGCAGGAAGAGTAGTCGTTACTGTGGTAACAGCTAACAGGGATCCTGAAAAAAGAATAAAGAATACTTCTTAAGATGTGTTTGTCTACCCAATATTACAATAACAAATTTGAGGAACGGTGAAGCCTCGCTAGGGGTGTGTGTTCACTAAGTCCCTTTATTTATTTTCGTAGATTTTGCAGATATAAAAGATCTTCTTAGTCATGACTTCAAGATAATAGTCCAGAGTCAGACACAAACACACTGAGGTCACACAGTGAGGACATTAACCAACTAAACCACCAAAATGACAACAACTGTGACCAAAAACCTATTTTTGTGTCAGACGTCCAGTTGCATGATGAATATTGTGGACAGTCAGATGAAAAATGTAGCACTGAGATGACAAATACAACCTCGGTAAAGGACATGACACACTGATTATAAAGTGTGAGTGTTTTCCAGATCATTTGATGACACATTTTCAGCTTAAAGACAACATAATGACGACTGAGTATAGACACTGTAAGTCAGCCATGAAACTAAACAATTCAGTCTGTAGATTTACCTGTAAGCCCAAGAACACACACAGGTACCAGGGTGGGGTGTCTTCTATGGTATAGATCATGTCCATCCTCCGTGCGTCTGTACTGTCTGTGCTGTCCAATGTCTCAGACATCGAGCTCTAAACACACAAAGAAGCACACACATAAATGAAAATCCTTATCATATCATGATTTGTCCTGTACACTTCACTTAGTGTAAAATATGTCAACAAGTTAGTTCAGTAAAATAACTGCCAGATCACAGATCTTGTGAAACTCTGATGTGAGATCAGCACGTCGAAGTGGAAACCATAAAAGCTGGAATTTCATGAATGATAAGATAAAAAAAAAATAAGGTGCCAAAGAAAGAAGCTGTGTCAAAGAGAACAAAACACATGATCTTATTCTCTCAGGAAAGAAAAAATGCACAGTCACAGTGACAACAAGAAAACCGAGAAGACAGAATGGAAACTGTTTGATGAGTCAGCACTTTTTTGTTCTAGTTACAGTGGAAATGAGTCTGTTTCACAGCTGAAAAAATACAAAGAGCTAGGTACGAAGTGAAACATGCTGAGTTTTCCAACCTGTTATTTTTTTTTTTTTTGAAGAGTCAGACATCTCTTGTGGCCAACACCAAATGTTTATTAGTTAAATTGACATTATAAATCATAGTTGATAGAGTCAAAAATGCAATTCATATGGTGTAGGGAAAACACATGAAATATAACTGATCGTTAATGTTGGATTTTTACTTCATGGTGGTCATTGTGTACCTTCCTTTGTATTTGATACAAAATAAGACGGAAAAAAAGAAAAGAAAAAAAAATCAAAAATGTTATGAAAATAAAAGTTATAATCCTTAAGATTCACATGAAATTTAACCTCATTTTCTTGGTAATATTACATAGTCATTTCCATTTAACAACCATTTGTTTTTCCCTGTTTAATTGTTGCTGTTTTTTTCAAACAAACTTTTATGTTTTTTAGTTGTTTGATTTATTACATTCTAACCCAGATTGTTGCCCTCCTAAACGGATGTTCAAATCTTTTAAATTGGGGTTGTATGAGGTGCTTATCCATAGTGGTGTATTACATACAGCAGATGTCAGCCGGTGTACTTCCAGCTTGGTGAAGCAGCAAGAGTGCCGGCACAAAAGCTAAGCAATGTACTGCTGTGGACGGGGGCAGCAGCGAAACGAATTTTAGCCACCTAAAAAAAAGTCTGACCTCACAAAAATCAGTCTCAGTTTAAGTAAACGCTATATTTAAAGATATTTTCACCGCAGTATCTTGTTGTTAGACAGTGATTTCCAATGGGGAACAGAAACAATTATATAACTCTCTTCACAACCAGACTCCTTTAAGAAAAACAGTAATATAAAATCACTAAAGACAGGAGCTGCTGGTCTACCGCTGGCTCAACCAGTTAATTTGGTTGTGATATTGTGTGACTCTAGCGTTTAAAAAGGGTTACCTCAGATTAAACAAAGTCACGCAATAACACATACTAACAAACTGATCAAGGCAGTGGTAGACCAGCAGCTCCTGTGTTAAGTGAGCTAAAATGACTGTTTTTGTCAGTGGAGTCTGGTGGCTTTAACGAGAGCATAGATGAGGAACTGAAACCTTTAACAGCTTTCCTGTCAGAACAGGCTGTGTCACGAAAAGTAAAGCAGTGCCGACTGATTATTGACCATTTACTGTGGCTAATACACTGACTATATGGATAAGTACCTCATTCAGGCTCACTTCAAAAAAGATCCAAACTATCCCTTTAAGATGTTCAGCTTGGTAACTTGGATGTTTTTATTATACTCTTGAACTTAACAATAAATATATAGAAAGAAAGAAAACCAAACTAGAGACAACTATAGTACACACAGTCACACATCTTGATACACCCACAATATACAAATAATAAAAAACAAAAAACAAACAAAAAAAAAGGCAGCAAATTAACAAGAAGGACTCACAATGATGCAGCATGTAATCAAGTTCTTTTTAACCTCTCTGATAATAGCCTCACTGTTTACTGTTGACTCTCATCACAGGCATATAAAACTTATATTCAGTTACTGATAAGCAAATGGCCATTTTTTCCCGACATTTCTTTCTTCACACTAAAAGCATTTAACTGTCAAAACACAGATCGATATTTATTGCGAAGCAGCCACAGGAAAGACAAAGTATTAGCACTGACCAAAATCATTCATCAATACTGCATCTACAAAAACAAGACAGTGGATCAGTTTTTAATTTTGCTGTGAGTAATGACACAAGAAGGAGCAGCAACAGTGAGCTGATGGATGGAGAGTTGTGCTCTGTGCTCTGCTGTCGGGTGGAAAACTACTCTGACTTCTTTAATAAAACAACATGTGCTTGCTTATTTGCACGGTAAACAGATACACCAGTTGCTCTTCTGTTATATCTCTGATAAAATAGCTGCTCGAGTGTGTGTAAGCTGTAGTATCAAACCACACTTCTTGTTACTACGGTAACCACCAGCTATAAATTCACTAGGACTGAAATCTGAAGGATTACAACGTTGAGAATGTTGGGGAAAGGTGAAGGAGGAAAAGAAAAGTCCATGAAACTGTGATTATGAGTAATTATGAGTAAGCTTTCTGAACCATGTGACTTAGTGTGAGTCTGCTTAAATACAGGCTTATTTGGGAGTAAACTTGCACTGTGGATGACTAATAAAGACATGTGAGGACTGTTTCACTTCTCTATTTTTCCTTTTGATTACCTTTTCTGCTCCTTGATTATCTTTAGTGTAGATGGCCATCAGCTCTGTGTTCTCAGTATCCTGGTCTCCACTGGCACCGCCCACGCCGTTCACCACCACCTAGACACACAAACATACAATTTAGACTCTTCTCCCTGTCTCCTTTCATAAGGCAATACAAGGGGAAATCTTAATTACAGTTTACCAAAGCAGGCTGGCACGGACAACTGACTGAGGAGAATGTTCACAGTTCTGACACATCGTTGGCCAGTTGACAAACCCACATCCAGACAGGTAAGCTGAGCAAGTTCCAGACTTTTGTTTAAGTTTGTATCTGTAAAGTCCATATAACAGCTAATAAATAAATAACCAGATTTGCCAACCAGGCCATAAAAACAGTTTTCCTATGTCACTGTACAAACAAATTTCTTCCACTGACTGTGTTTGAGTGTATGTGACGTATGAGGATGTGCTTTTCCTGTGTAAGGAATGCTGTCATGCTGATTAATAAAGGGAGGGGCATTAACAACTACAAAAGTACTCTACCAGGCAGCTGCCTAGGCTGATGGCGGCCACTTCAAACAATTCTTGCAATTCGAAAACAAACAGCACAGCATGTCCCAGAAGCCAACAAATATACACCCCTCTATTTTTTACGGAGATCCAGCGTGTTGCGCAGAGCAGATCCGAGTTTTCACAGGCACTGTTGTGAAATATAGATACAATAGATTTACAAGGATTAATGTATTTTTATTAACTTTGTCTGTGGGCTCCAACGCAACAAAGTTGAAATAACACATTAGCAAATCAAAAAAATCTGCAAGCCTATAAAAGTGGGCATGAAATTGTCCCTCCTGGCTCCCTTACAGTCAAGGTGGCAGTGAAGATAAGAACGATGACTGACTTAATCACATCATATTGTGCCTAACTTAGTGGATCATAATATGTCGGGTATGGAATTATTCTGCAGATGCTCTGGTTCAAAATGAGACCAAGCTTTTCTTTGGATGTCAGTTTTTGAGCCACGACAAAGGCCAAAATGTGGCCTGTAACAGATGGTAAGGCTTGTTCATTTTAGTCGAGCTGACAAACAATAAACCTGGGGCCCCTACCGGCTGGTTAAGAGGAGTGAAGAGTCAGCAGTTACTAACAGTATAATACAGTTAATAAAAAAGTTTTTTCAACACTTGTGAATCATCGCAACCACTAGAGGTGCTAGAGCATATGGTCTTGTATGTGCACACAATATATGAGGCTGATTGATCCAGTAGTATGCCAAGTTAACTGCAGACAGACAGATACACACACTGACACACACGCAGGACGCGAGATCCTCTCCAGGGGTAAAAAGGGACAAACTGTGAGAAAGATTAAAAGCATTAAAAACTACATTTATAGATGATATACTTTTGAATGCCGCAATGTCTGAGAGACATCACACAAAGAGGCTCATCCATCAACTGCCAGCAGTCTGTCTTAACTGTGTGGTTACAGAGTGATTTCTACAGCCCAGTTTTTACTGTACAGTCCTGTGATCCCTTCTGAGAAAAACCTCCTCATGTAAACATACTCTGCTGTGTCTACATGCAGAGTCCCCAGATTAAACACTGGACAGCAGAGTCTCTGCGTGTGTAAAAGGAATTTGTAAAACGTTGGAGACAAATGTCTAAATCTAGGGGTTATACAGCAAAACAAAACACACAACAAAGGGAAACTTTAGACTTGTATCATATTTCCCTTCCTTTGTGTTCTGCTAAACGGCTCCAGAAAATGACACAAGAGAAGCCTTGAGATTGTTCTAACAAACAGGACATAGGTTATCTGAAGCCAGCAGGCGTCATGGTCACTGTCATGGCTCTGTGGAAAGTTTTATCTTAGTTTCATTCTGTGGTGAAGGCAGTGCTTAGATTCTTTAATTAAACCTGCAATAGCTGTACTGATTTTATGAACACTTGATTGTTTCGGAAACAAGCTGTAAACACAACACTGATACTTACTAAGTTAATGTGTTGAATGCGATAGCAAACAGTTGCCTATTAAGACATCCAGCAGATATGGCACTATTAGCAACGATTTATGTTTCTGGATGCTAGATGAATACAAGTTTGCATCATTTCTCATTACTCACAATACATAAATACACTAAATACATACATTTAAGGACCTGCAGACACTCTTACTGTGTTACTAACTGTCAGTTTGCCGAATTGTTGTGGGCAGGTGTCATACTGCTGGTTTATTAGAGCTTAATGCTGAAAAAACAAAGCTATGGGGAGCGGTGACACTGAACCACAACAGTTAAGTTGGAAAACCAAAATGATGCGCTGAAAGACACCAAAAAACTCTGTAGAGCTGAGGGACAGTGCAGGCAGAGTAGGGTGGTGATTCTCTGTGGGTTTGTTACTACGATTGTCCTCTTTCACACTACATGGTCATTCAAGCCATTGCTAATATAAAAAAAAAAATTAATTACTATTATTTATTACTTTAGCATGAATGGAAAGATTTTATAAGCAAGTTTACTTAATATATCAAAATTATTCATATTTATGCAAAATGGTCCTATTTCATGAGGGAGCAAAAAATAGTACTTACCGGGCTTGTCACTCCTAAACAAACACAAACTTTTGCTTTAACGTACCTTTTTATTATTTATTTATTTTTACACATATCTTTACTTAAGTTCCCAACCTGAACTCTATTCTCCCATGTTTTTGTGTGTAAGTGACTGGATAAAGAATTTTTGACATTTGCTCAGTCTTGAGAGAGAGCGCTGCGGCCGACATAGCGAAACAGGCTGCACTGTGAACACTTGGGGCATTTGTGCACTGTCAATTTACATCCCCTCAAGTGTTTATTTTGCCACTGACAGGGTCAGACTGTTAGTCTGAGTGTCTGACAACACTTTGGAAAGGATCTCTACAAAGACAGACCTTTGAGTTAAAGAGTAAGATCCTTTTTGAATGGGGTGTCTTTTACGATGATAAAATGACAGTTTATTTAAATGGAGTCTGGTGGGTTTGCTAAATACTGGACCAGTTTTCAAAAACGTATCTCCATTAGTCACTTAGACACAAGACATGGGAAAATAGAGCCCTAGTTGAAAAATACACAAGTTACCTTTAAGTACAGAACTTGTGAAAAAGTGCATAGTTCATTTCCATCACTGGATTTATGTAAAAGAAAGCTACGTTAAAGCAGAAGTTCGTTTTATAAATAAATCTCAGATAAATTGCTACTGTTGTCATTTTGCCTTTTGACCTAAATGAAGCTAAGCCAAGAGGATAAACAGGAAATGGATTGACTGAGTGGCAGCAGCATGCATCAACTGGCCATGAAGTATACAGTTTGTGTTTGTTCGTTCTCGGGCCGTCCGCTCACACAGATACATTCCACGAGCAGTGCCAAATCTGAGCGTGTAAGGCCCAAGACAGAGAGGGGAGAGAGGACAGACATTTTTAGGTTGTGTGCATATTGACCAAAGCCTGTCTTTGTCTGATTATGTGAGCTTGCCTTAAGCATGTTCCTGATGGGTCTGTGGTTTTGGTTTTATAATTTTATATCCAGGCCATTAACATGTTTATGTACCGGAATAGGGTAGAAATCTGCGCTATGCTTGCTCTCCTCTTCGAACTTTCCTCCCTCACTGCTGCTGTCCATCGACTTGGGGGTTGTATTCTTCCCCACGCCCATCCTTGTGTCTACGACGTCGTCCTCTGCCTCTTTCTCTGTCCCTCCTCCGTCTCGCTCTGGTGTGAACACTGCAGATGAATCCCTCAGTCCGATTACATCATCCAGGACTGTCTCATCTGCTGGGAAAAAAGGAGACAGATAGACAGAGAGATCAATATCTTGAGTTATAACGTAGAGGGTTCTAATATCCTAACGCTTCACTGTGAAGGTCTCATCATATCAGAGAGCCTGAGAGGCTGCCGGGCCGCACTTCTTGTTGTTAGAAACTTATCTCAGGTCTCTGGTTGTTGTTTATGGGCCTGTCTTTTTCAGATGACAAAAGTATGTTAACTGCAACCATTTATCAGATTAAAAGAGAAATCAATATGCTAGTTATAGCTTTACAAATGCAAAGCCCTGCTTCCTTTCTCTGTTTCCATTTGAAACATCTCAGGTCTATTTTGGCTGCTGTGGGTCTTTTGGTTACTAAACAGATTGTGTAATCACTTTTAAGACATCAGCTTTGGCCCAGGCAACTTGGGTGTTGGTGATTATCTAGAGCTGAAACAGCTAATCAACTACTTTGATACCAATTATTCCTGTAAGTCATTTTCTGAAGCAAAACTGCCAACAATAAACTGTTTCTAGCTTCTTAACTGAGAGGATTTGCTGATTGCCTTTTTGTCTTATGTGGTAAAAAACAGAATATCTTCATCAGTCAGGGCAAACTAACAACCTTAATATGTCACTTTGACCCTTAAAAATTGTAATGGCCATTTTTTTCTCATTTTGTAGACTTAACAATTTAATTTATGTTCAAGAAAATTATCAGTAGATTAATATAATAATGAAAACAATGATTAGTTGCAGCCCTAAACCACTCAAACAAATAATTCAAATAATTAAGAAATAATGATTTATGTCTCCAACAGGTCTGACAGACACAAGAGGAGAGAAGGCAAACACATAGAAAGGCAAGATGATGCAAGATTATGCAAAGAGAGAAACATGGATACAGGTTTTACAGAGAGGGGGAACAGAATGATCAGAGTTGCGTGTGATGAAAAGGAGCAGGAGGTAGAGACAGACAATACGTGCTGGGACAAACTTAAATTCCTTGTGTCATGTAAACTTTTGTTGGTGTGAAACAATCCTCGAGTTATGCCGCTCTGTATAATATGTGACATTTGGCTGTCACTGGCACACCTTTTATGCAATCTATCTTTAACTGTCACTCACGTGACTATTAGTCTGGTATTTTTTAATTAACCTAGACCTTAATGTACAATGTTTCTGTGTCCAGTTGACCAATGGGGATAATATTTTTTTAAACTGTTCCGGCATTGTGCAAGACCAACGCTGCCAGCAGCGGCAAAACAGGCTGCAGTGTGAACACTCGGGACATGTTCGCTTGTTTACTTCCCCTAAAAGTGCTTCTTTTTGCCACCGACATGCTCAGATTATTATTTTAACTGTGTGACAATTATGACCGACTTTTATGTTGAAGAGTATGATTCTTTTTTAAAACCAAATACAGCCCCGAAGTTGCTGTGGCCAAACCCACCAAACTCAAATTAAATACAGTAATTCATTGTAAAACAGATTTCATTCAAAGTTGACAGAAACAAAATACAACCTACAAAAAACATCTTGGTTCATTCACTGTTCCAACAATACACAAATCTGGTTTGGCTGAAATGAACCCTTAATTTACCCAGTTAGATGTGAAAATAATAAATAAATTAGCGTTTATTTAAATGAGTCTGGTGGACTTGGCGATATCAGTTTGGGGGCTTTTTCTGGTTAAACAAATAGTGCCTTACTTTCAACAAAACAGTCTGTGAGGAATGCTTTCCATAATGTCTTTTAGAAACACAGAATAATAATCTGAACATGTCAGAGGCAAAAACAAGCACTATGATTGGGCATAAATTGTACGTGACTGTTTCCCAGTTTCCACCAAAAAACTTTCGGTATGGTACCTTTGGAACCAAAAGTAACCATTCAGACATGGTACCTACAGTGGTCCCTGGCGTTTCCACCGCAAACAGTACTCTTAAATGTGGGCGGGGTTGCTGACACTCACTGCTCCATCCAGCATTCAATGTATTTCCTCATTACCAGTGACACAGATGGAAGTCTGCCACTCATTTATTGTCCAGAGAATGAAATTACAGCAACATTTTCTGAACAAAATAGAACAGGCTGCAGTGAGAGTCTCTCTCCATGGGATATTTAAAAAAAATGGGTTTGTGCATTTAGTCCTTCTAAGGCAAGCTCAGGGATTTAGTGTTGCCATAGCCCACAGGAACAACGCTCCACAACACTTATCTTTTCTCTGAGTGAGGATTAGAATATATGCAGTTTGCATAACCTGGCCAAAATTAATACATATAAACGCTCGAAGATCCACTCATTACTAAAAGTGTATGTCATATAAAAACTAAAGTAATGGTCAAAGTTGCTTAAGTGAAACTTAATGTATGTTGGTGATTAATGTTGTCAGAGCATACATTTAGTACATTACAAGTTAACATTCCACCTTAAAAGTTGCCAGCAGTTGGCCCGGTGAAAGTTATTTTTTTTACTCCAACTCCAGCTGCTGCAAGAGGCAGTAAAACATCCTTTCATTTTATAGTTAGAGTCTTATAATAACACTCTCCTTGGTATGAACAGTGGTTACATGAGCCTAAAAACCAGCCACAGCTCAGCCCTGAGCAGAGTGACCCTCTGCTATTGACCAATCAACAGAGTGCAGTGTTCACAGCTCCACCTTTTAGTTCCAGATCTGTGTGCTAGGTACCCCAACAGAGGGGGAACCAAAAATGGGGACAGTACAGAACGGTTCCATTGGTACCATCCACAACTTCTTACAGTGGAAATGGGAAAAAAGTGTACCGAACTGAACTGAACTGTGCTGCTCGGTGGAAATGTGGCTATCGTGGCCTGTTTCGCTGCTGTTGGCTGTAAAATACTTGATCCCCTTCGTCACTTAGACACAAAAACATAGGAAAATGGGGTCCAGGTTAAAAAATGCTAAACTTTCCCTGTAATGTATTGAAAAGTTGCCAAGATCTTAGTGTTGACAGCTGTTACTCAGCTACCTGCCAAAACCAATAAAATAAAACATGTCAACTATGTGAAAATTAAACATTCCTTTATCTCGTTTTCTCTGAACTCAAATGGCTCGGAAACCTGGTGCCCATTTTAACTACTATGTTTGTGTGTAACTACTGCTCTGTATGACTGAATTATCTTGTTATGTTGTAAAGATGTGTTTTGACCTCAGGTCTCTATAAAAGAGACCTCTATAAAAACAGATCTTTAACTCAATGAGATTTGATTCATCTGATTAAATAAAGCTAAACTAACCCACTACATTCAGGGATGGTTTGTTGTATACAACATGTATCTCAGGTTACATCCCCGACACTGAAGTCAGGACTGCACAAAGGATGTTTTCACGTTTCAAAACTACAGTACTTTGGTCTTTTATCTTCTTGTGAAGACTGGTTTTATAAACCAGTTCATGAATCATGTCCCACTGGAAATGACTTCGCACTACTCAAGGAAACTGTATTAGATCATCAGGATTCATTCGAGACATAGTGTCCCAACACAAAAGACAGACAGTTATAGGGATCACTGACGCCTTCAAACGTTGACCTAACCCCCTATATAAATACTGTTGTAGACGAGTGAGAAGTCAACTAAGGATCCTGTTTCCCTGGGCACTGATGCAAAGCTGATTCATTATTTAAAAGGTCAATTCATTCATTACGTAGAAACCAAGTTACCAAACCAACTTGTTAAAAAAAAAGCATAGCTCTCGTATAACAGCAGTACAACTAATTAACTATGTGCGTGTTTGTTAAATTTTTCCTGCCTTTTTCTATTCGTCGGCCACCTTTGTTTCATTATCTGTGTGTCTAGATGTGATGGTAGGAGTGTGACATCCTTTGCTTTTCGTGCTCATTTACAGTGCTTGTGGAGTGCTTGTATCTACAATCTATGCTTCTAACGCATAAGTATATTGGCCCAAACTGAGCCAAATGACCAAATATATATTTAAAAAAATCCCACAACTTGATGTCTCATAGGTTTCTTAAATGCACGAAAAAATGGAGCAAGTGTGAACGAGTAATAAAAAGCAATTTTTAAATTCCAAGAGCTGTAATTTAAATTATAAATTACATTAACAACAAAGTTTAGTCTGACCCTGTTGACTGTAGCCCCTGAAATTATCGATATATTACTTGGTGGACCTGTATGTGAGGAAGCACGTTTGCATCAGTTGGATCAGACATTAAACGGACTTTACCCTGCCAGCTCTCTGTCTGATTGAGCCCATGTGTGTATAGGGCAGGTCATTGTTCACAGAATTCACAGTGAGCAAGTGGGTGGGTTGATGACGTTTCTATTATGATGCTCACAGAAAATTGGAATAAAACAAATATCCAAGGGTGAAGAAGAGGGTGAATTTACACAAACACTGTAACAAAAATGTCTAACTGGAGAGACAATGAGATTCGGGAACTTCAGTTGGTAAGGGCTGGCACCAAAATCGTCAAACTTATGGAACAGAAAGAGACAAACTGGCTACGTGATTGGGGTGTAGTCCACATCGTAAAAAACAAAACAAAACAGCATTACCTGTAGGTGAGAACGCTTCTAATACAAACAATCTCCTGTTGTGTGCTACACATGTGAAACAGAAAATTATGTACAATGTTCAGAGTCGATATGAGGAAACAGCTTTTTTAGCTATGAAAAAAACATTTCCCAAACTGTTCAGCCCTGAAAAAAAATGAGGTATGTTTAACTGAAACTACTTGCTGTAAATCTAATTTGTGCCACTCCACGCTATACTTACACATAACCCTGTACATAAGCAGACGCATACCTTGCATCATATTCCCCTTTCAAAGTTTAATTTTTTTCATCCCAAATATCCTTGCCCACCCAGCCAGTCTGCCTGCTTGCAGTGTAAAATGTTGGGATAGGCGTTATACCTAGTTGACACATCCCATCACTCCTGTCAAGCTGGGCGGCTGGGAGCATCTGTGTGGAAGGGGCAAGAGAGAGGGGGCAAAGAGGAGGTGGTAGAAGAAGAAGAGGAAGGAACAGAAGAGGAGGAAAGGAGAGAGAAGAAGAGAAGGGGGCAGAGGCAGAGAGGAGAGAGGCAGAGGGGTCAAGGATAAGGAGGAGGAGGGAGGTGAGACATAAGTTAATTTGACAGACAGAATTTAATCACAAGCAAGTTAGTGTGTAGTGTAACTGATGTGTCGTTTGTAAGTCAGATTCTCAGGTGAAATATGGCTTTAGGAAAGCAGCAAGAGTGAATTATGTTGCAATCAAGTCTCCCACCTGTAGAGGGTGCATTTAATTAGAGGAATAATAAGGGAGGGAGAAAAACAGACCCCAGCCAGAGTATACTTTACAGGAAACGTTGAGTTATAGATGAGCATTGCATAATTATTTGTGATGCCACAGTCAAACCACTTCCCCAGACTGACATGCTAGCATTTGAAAACGAGCCTTTAGTATCTCACACTTTAATAATTGTTGTATTGTTGTATGTTTTAAGAACTACTTTCTACTTCTAAGAGGAACTCTTGTTCAAAACCCTGTACTTCCTTTAAATTACACATAGTCATATTTTTTAACTTACACTCAGACAAAAAGGCATGTGCAAAGAAGGCAATATTGCTTAAGACCAACTCCTTTACAAGGATGATTTTGCTATATAATTGTGGTTTTTATTTTTGTGTAGTTTTGGCCATCATTCTTCTAATAGGAAATAACAGCATTAAGATCTGGAAGGGTAGAAACATTGGCTAAAAGGAAATAAACGAGCAGTCAGATGATCCTGAAAGTTTTAAACCAGGGACTCAATCTCAAAACCCCTGAGGATCACTGGCCAGGTTTTTGCTCTGCCAAGAGGGCTGCTTAAACACTTTTTTAAACATTTAATTTAAACTTAAACACTGTAAATTTGACCAACTCATGTGTGCCCCTCCTGTCTCTAATGCTTAGAACAATGCTCTGCTTATTTTTGTCACATATAACTTCATTGCTCTAGTATCAGTCCTTCAGTTCAACCTTTGAAGTGTTCTTTCCTTTAGGTCCGAAAAGAGACCTGGAAGAGTAATGGCTGTTGCTGTAGTTAAATTTGCTAATGGGGATCTAAATAAACTAACAAATAAACTCTAAAATAAAAAACAGGGAGAAAAAAATTTAAAACTGGATTTTATAATAAATTTTCCCAATATTGTGTAATGGGACAAACTTTGGAGAAGCTTGATTAATCCCAGTTGTTTGGAAAGTAAAATAAAGGCAAAGTCACTAACCAAGCTGTACTTCATAAACATCCATACAAATTTACTAGGGTTGGCTGCCGAAATTGGTTCTTTTACCAGTTGAATTATGTCTGTTTTCCTTAATAAAGAGAAAAGTACCAATTCACTTTAAATCAACCAGTGCCAAATTTCGCTAACTAAGAGCACAACTGAGTGAGAACGTCAGGTTCAGACAGGACGAAGCCCCGCAAAACCCCCCACAGCTGGCCATGAAGCTCCACAGACGGCACTGAAGCTCCCAAAGCCACACACAGTAGGTGGACGCACCCCAAAGCTGGCCTCAGAGCTCCACATTCAACAGAAGAGGTCTGTTGGCTTCCCAGCAAGAGGTGACAAATGACATTTGTTATTACAGAGTGAGTAAAGTGCCGAAAAAGTACTATTGAGTGCCACAAACAAATTCCAGGTACCACTTCCTGTATCGGTTTGGCTGTGAATTCATTGAGGAATTATTACCAACATTTTGCTTTCCTAGTATTTATGTCCAAATGAACTGGTTTACATAATCTGATTTAACAGTGTCACAACCTGTGACATTGTTTGAATGCTCATACTTCTTGACCAATGACTTCTTGACCGTTTTGTTCCCAAGTGATAACATTTACAGGTACAATGTTATCATAATAGATAAATACGATGGTCCAAACTTCAAACCACAATCATCTTTTAATGACACAATGACAACAATCATCACAAAGTCAGTCTTTCTGACCAGTGAATACTGCACACAGCACATGGACACAGATCACATAATTGACCTCAATGCTGCCCAGCCTGTGGCTCTCTGTCACTACTGTGGATCAGTTGTGATATGTAGGGTGAGACAGAGAGTATCCCAGCAGCCTCTGGGTGATTCCAAGTCTGATGAACATCAGCGAGAGAACAAGAGACGCAGTGAACTGGAGCGAGAGAAAACTGAAACTGAGCTTATGTGATTATGTAACTGGGGAAATCTGCAGTTTCATAAACATAAAACAACTATTCAGATTATGTATAAAGCAGGGTGTGTGTGTGTGTGTGTGTGTGTGTGTTTGTTTAGGACAGAGCATCAGTGAAAGAAAGAAGAAAAAAGAAAAGCACAAGAAAAACGAGTGCGAGGAGGAACAAAGACAGACTGCGGTGGTAATTTTAACTCATCCCAGAATAAGCAGGCTGGTGGACAGAGTTACCGCCTGGATCTATAACCATGGTAACCTGATCTGTGGATCCTGTGCAGGCTTGTGCCGTGTTGTGTGGGACTCTGGCAGAGGAGGAGGACTTCACACCAGCTGTTTGTGTTGGCGGTTTCATCTCTAGTGCCAAATGTGTGCTAGTTTGCATATGTGTGTGTGTGTGTGTGTGTGTGTGTGTGTGTGTGTGTGTGTGAACTCCAATCCCTCCAGATGTTCCTCTAAAGTTCAGGACAATATCCTGGACTATATCAAGCCTGCAGATGGTTGAGAGTTCTCTATAAATAGCGTGAAATTTTCGTTTCTGGTGTCCTTGAAGGATATATGACTGGGGTCATGAAAAACCCATGTTTGTTTGTTTGTTTTTCAGACTTGTTCAGTCTCACAAAAGTAGTGAATTCCTGCCCACTTTCAGCAATAAGTCCAATGAAAACGCAACTTGTCAGTCATGGATTGAAGGAATAAATTCACAATATGAAACAAAAGCATCTTAACACTGAGGCTTTTTTACGACGCAGATTCCAAAAAAAGTTGGGACCCTGTGTAAAACAGCAGTTCCCAACTGGTGGGTCGTGGTCCAAAAGTTGGTCACAGGTCCATTCAAAATGAATCGCAAGTGACTCACAAATGTGTCAAGTTTGTAAAAAACACACTTTATTGTCACGTACAGTGAATTTCTGGTACAGAGCTTTTATTTTCTAGTACCATTTCCTGCTGTAGAGTGAGTGACTAATGGACAGCTATTTATCGGAGACAGCAAACTAGCTCGACGACATGGCAAAACACAAGTATGATGCAGAATACAATAAACTGTGTGGACCTTGAACTAATGACTAAGGAGAAATCTGGATCCCGTGGCTGGTTCAGTTGGAGACCACTGGTGTAAAACATACATTAAAATAAAATGCAATAATTTGCAAATCCTTTTCGACGCACATTGGGGGAAATAAGAATGTAATCAACGTTTTTGTCATTTTAAATATTTCCAATGCAGCTATTCACATGAAATTCAGACTAGATATTTGTATTATGTCAATAAAAAGACACTGATAAATCATAACATTTCAATCCCTAAAAATGATATGCAGTAAAGTGGAATGACACAGGAAGAAAGTATTGAACATGCTAACTGAAATGTATTTAATACTTGGAGAAGCCCTTGGTTGCACAAACTCAGACTAAATATATATACAAAAAATGTATCAGTTTGAGCATTTAATATCTTGTATTTGCACTTGATTCCAATGAATAAATTTCAAAAAGGATCTGCAAATCATTACATTCTGTTTTTATTTACATTTTACATAGCATCTTGCCAACATTTTTTGGCATTTGGGTTTTATTATCTGATTATATTCTCAATTATGCATTGTCAAAAAAAAAAAAAAGGTGAAAAAATGCTAATCACATTTTCTCACAGCCCGAGATGACACCTTCAAATTTCCTGTTTTGTTTAACCAACAGTCCCAAACCTGAAGATATTCAGTTTGCAGTGATGTAAAACACAGAGAACCGGCAAATCATCACAGTTAAAGAGTGAGAACTAGCAAATGTTTGGCTTTTCTGCTCATTATATGACTGAAACAATTAACCTCTTATCAGAATAATTGCTTATTCATTTTCTGTCAATTGTCCAATCAATCATTTATGCTCTAGTTACTTCTAGAGCCACAAACTAAAACAACCAACCTAAAAAAGGAGTCAAATTACAAACACCTCTGACATTATCTGACACAATCATCCCTAAAATGAGAAAACAATAATCAAGGTCACCAGAATAGAGCCAGGTGTGCTTTGAAAGGTATAAATGAGACCAGGAGATCATGTGAAAATGCTCTCTCATTGTTACTTGGAATTAATGCTTAACAGCCTCACAATGAACAGTACAGCTGCATGACGTATATCTACTGACACATATCTACTGCATTTTTCCACATCTAGTTTATAATTACAAAGCTTTTGCAAGTTGCCATCCTGATTATACATTCCTGAGATCTTCCCAGGGTTTATGTTATATGACACTATTTGTGTGCATACCTATGCTACTACTACTAGAGCTTTCACTCCAACAAATAAGCTTACAAAATGTCAAGAAAGGAAATATTTTACCAACTGTTTTCTTTAATAAACACAAAATACAACCACATACCTCTCTTTCACCTAAGAGTAGCTTAATTGCCCTTTGATTCAAACCCAAGAGACACAAAATAAAACTCAGCAAAACTGTCTTCGTTTTTCTTGTTGTTTGACTAGTTAGTTAGTCCACTGTTTTAACAATCACAAACTCTGGTTTGGTTGAAATGAACCCCTATTTCACTGAGTTAGATGTGAAAAAAGATGGTATGCTGGCTCGACACTGTTTTTCCCTGCCGTCTGTCTCCGTCATTGCTGGCCGGGTGTGTTTTCTACTTCTGTAACAATATCCCCACCACTCGCAGTCACAGTCAGTTCAGCTGACGGGTCCACCAGTAGAGACTGAGCTCTGGTGGCTACATTGCTTAATAAAGAATCTCTGCATGAGTTTATTAGAAAG